GCCTGAGACCTTCACACATTTTTAATCCACACTCGAGCTGTCGCCTGAGACTTTCACACATTTGAAATCCAAAAACGAGCTCTCGCCTGAATTTTTCCCTGATTTTGATTGCCAAATCAATCTCTCGCCTGAGACTTTCTCTCAAAACAAGCCAAAAACAAAAAAAATCCCAAAATAAAACAAAAAAATACCAAATTAATTCTGCACCCATATTCTAATAAGATGCCCATATACCCATATTCTATCTACTTAAGGGGGACTATAATATTGAACCCCCCACCCCCCAATACTAAATACTCCCGATATGTACCACAATATGGTGGGTATGTAATATTATGGGGGGTGGGGGTTAATATTAGTCCGACGGAATCAATGGGTTGCACCTTTTCCTTTGGATAAACGGCTCGGACGCAAGGCAAGAAAAGCCTCATGAATGCCTTTATCCCATGCAGCTACATGCGCCACACAAATGCCATACCTTGCCCTGAAAAAACAACAAGCCCAGTCTGAAAACCAAATTGGCCGGTTTCCGAAGCATGGAGCCGAAATATCGACTCCCAAAAACAGGTGCCAACTGGGGAGTCTTAGTTAGCCGATCCCACCTTGCCAAATCCCACACGAGCTCTAGTCCAAGCTCTTTAAAGGGGGTTATATAGGCGATTGTATAGGGGACTATACTAGGGATTATTTCAGGGGGATATTAGGAGTTTAGACAATGGCTCACGTAAGGTGCAAAACCCTGAGTCTAAACTCCTAGAATCCCCCTTAATAGCCCCTATAATATTCCCCTATCATATTCCCCTATAGTAGAACCCCCTTTAAGGAGTCTAGGCTATAGGTCCTGTGGTATGAGAGATGAGGCAGGCGGCTCCTTAATACTATTCCGCTCCGACATGCCACACGAAGTGTTGCCGGGCTTGTTCATCGGGTTGAAATGGGTGCCCTTTCAGGAATGCAGTCATCATAACTCTAGGGATCCAAATAGCCCAATTTAGGCAATATTTACAGACTTCAAGGCCGAATGTAGGTATTTTTGTGTGCTTGGATCCCTAGGGTAAGGCTTGCGGGGATAGGGGAGTATGGGGGGTCCTTAAGAATCATAAAGGAAGAAAGAATGCTGAGAATTGCCCATCTGGAGGAGGCGTGTACAGTGCAGAGCTCAGGGTTCTATTTCCCATGAGTAGATAGAATATGCATTTGTCTACATTATAACAAGATCCCCATATACCCCATATTCTATCTACTTAAGTGGGATGATGAGGGCCTGTCCATGTTTAGGATGGCATTCCAAGTTTCGCAGCTGTCCAATTTGACGACAAGTTCTTTGGATATAGTCATTACATATTGCATACATGCGTAGATTGCTTATTGTGATACCCATATCCGTACACACCTCCGGACGCTCCATGGGTTTGTGCCGTGCCTTACTTTAGTGGCTAAGTTTAGGACGAGCTGTCACTGAAGCCACCGGAACTCTGAGTGTGTAATGATTCGTTGCGCGTTCGCGTCAGCTGAGCGTGTACCTGACCCAGGATTGGGATGTGTGATTTTCTGTAAGGGTGCCCTGAACGTGTCGGATCACTGCCCCGCAAACCGCCGGGGTTATATAGGGATAGTGGCAAATGGCAATACTATAATGGGGTTATACAGGGTTTAGGGTCTAGGGTTTTGGGGGCGACCAGTTTGGGGGATTTCGCCTCCCAATCAGGAGAGTGGACTGGAAAGCTTATTGATTCCAAGAGCGCTCTAAGCGAAGGTATGGGGCTGGTCCCATCACGAGTAGCTTGAAAAGTGTTAGCCAATTTACATTACCCTTCATCCCTATGGCATACGTCTGAACCTATGTTGCTATGATTTTATGAGGCCCCGACCCAACTTACCCCAATATAGTCCCAGTTCCCATCTGACTTTACATGGGAGGAAGATCCACACTTAATTTCATTACCATGAGTACTATCATTGCTATTATCATAAACCCTAACCCCCCTACTAGTACCATTATTCCTACTATTATTAGGTATCCAAGGCCAGCAGCACTTGAGATGAGGGTTTGGACGGCTCTGCAGGGTCCACACCCCCAGCCAGCAGGCTCTTTAAGCGGTTCCCCAAAAGTAGGGGGACTCTTTTGTGGGGTCACTATGATAAGGATTATAGTATTTTAGGGTCTATATTGGGGTACTCCTGTTTTGTGAAACTACCTTCTTTAAAGCATTCATAGCATTCCAGCAGTTAGCAGGCAATGAAGGAATGGATCCCTGTAGTAATTCGTCCCTTATATTCAATTCAATAAACACTTTGAATGGTCCCCTTGAGCTATTCTTTATTCTCTGCTAGCACCGGTAAGTACGGTTGTCTCAATTTCGTGTGGCGAGGATTTGTGGGTTCTCCAGGGTCAGAAGACAGCCCATGAAGCCCGAAAAGGCCTTGTTAAACCCTATAAGCCCCGAACACCACTAACTCTCCAAATTCTGCAAAACCTGCACCTGATAAGCCCTAAACCCGGTAAACTTGGATGTGGCAAAAATGAATTTTCAACCCTGAGCACCATGCAAACCCTGCAAAGCCTACCACCCTGTGAAACCTTAAAAGCCCTAAAGCTTCCAACCTATAAGCACAGACCCGGAAGCCTATCAGCCCTACCTGGACCCCATCCCCATAAGTGTTAGATTTAGACCTATAAACGCAGACCCGGAAGTCTATCAACCCTGCCTGGACCCCATAAGTGTTAAATTTACGGCCTGAAATGCAGGCAGGAAGCCCATGAATTTACATATTTTTTGTGGGTCCAGGTAAGCCTTAAGGCAAGAACCCCAAACCCTAGACCTTAATTTCTTCAAGCCTAAACCCTAAACCCGCCACATCCAAGGCTTCCTACTTTTGGTCAGCGCTTCGCTCTGTCGATGTGGTGCCACGAAGCGGGATGATAAAAACAAAGCCCAGTCAATAGGGGTTCACCTGTAACCCCAATTAGGGACAGCTGTATGGCTTACATTTGCCAGTTAGAGGTTATTGTTATTGCAGTGTGGATAATTAGGGCTACAGGTTGGCTCTAAGGTCCGTATACCTAGAACAGTATAACCACTACATACCCGTTCACTTGGGTTTATAAAGCGTTTGTTGCAGATATATGGGAGGTTTAGGTGCGCTTCAGCGCTGGTCGCCTCTGGTTGTAGAAAGTTGCAGGCTGTTCTTCCTTTTTCTTCTCGTTACCAGGTATTGTGTTCCTTCATCACAAACGAGATGTTGACAATTCCAAGACCCGAAGCCCTAAATCGTGAAAGTCGGTCAGGCTTAGGACGAGAGTGTCGAGAGCTTCTTTGAATTAAGGGTTTCAAGGTTGTACCGCTGTGAGGTTGTTCCGTTTCGCGAACTCTAGGGAACTACATCGGTTCATGGAAGGGATACATGAGGGCAACTTTTTAGAGGGTACAAACCTGGAACACTTGATTGAATCATTGGGATTTTGCAGAAGATCTTTTGCGGACCATTGCTTCAACCCGCACCCCCAAATGCAGCCGGCAAATCCAAGTACCTGCAGTTCGGTAGTCATTACCGCTTGCTTAGCCCATGAAAGCTGTAGTTATGAGTGGGGATGCAGGTATAGCCTATTAGATACTGCCGGGGCCTGAATCATTCGCGCCGTGGAGAACAGCAGCCCAGCGTTTTGAAAACTACTTCTTTTTTCCATTTGCGGTAGGGTAAAAATACTGGCAGGCACATAATCCATGCATTTTAAGGACGTTGAGGGATCATTTTGACGTTTATTTCAGGTACCATGACATTGATAGATATTTAGGCCCCTGCAGTACCATTCATTAAGTTTCCTGCAAAAGCCTTTGGCGCACTTTTCTGGCTTCAAGGGGTACATGACTCTGACAGGCCCGTGCGATTTTATCCGCATGTCTTTCGAGTCCCGCGCTGAGGGGTGTGGATCAAGTGCCCAACCCTGAATCTGGGAATTAGTCAAATTTAAGTTACCATTTATGGGCTTGTGGTGAATAATTTGGTTTCCCTCTTACAGTAATTTAAGAGACTTCCTTAGCAGCAACCCAGGATGTCCACAGTACCGGCGCGAAAGCCTAAATTTGTAAGCCTCGGGTCGAAGCTCGGCGGGAAAGCAAGATCAAACCGCCGGCCCAAGGCCCTAATTGGAGTAATTGCTGCACCTATAAAAATGGTGCTTCTTAACTAGTATGTTAACATCTTTACCAATTTTCTTGGGTCTAGATTGCTCTATAGGCTCATCCCAATACACGCTTCAGCCACATTCTGCCACAATGGCCTGGACGTTATCGGCGAAGGGCACCCTTCTGGATGCAAAGGACACCAGAGTATGGGCACAGGGTTAGGGGGCTTGGGGGTTGTGGGCTTCAGGGTTTGATTTAGGGTTTAGGGTCTCTTTCTTATCCAATGCTTGAGGTTCACAGGTGGCAGGTTTCAGATCAAATGATGTGTCCCTTCCTGGGGCTTCCCTGTAATAAGTATAACGGGTCCTAATTTACAGGACACACACCAAGGTTTACCTTGCCTCATGCTTTTCCTTGACTTGCTGCATCAAAGCTGATTGCGCACAACATCCAGGAAATCAACGGGACTCCTAATCCTTAATCCTTCCCTGCAATGGCCCCAGTGCCCCAGTAATCCCTCAGAACCTTCAATGGCCCTTTTCACATGTACTCTTCGAGGATTTTCATGATTATATGCAGGAGCGCAGTTCATGGGGGGAAGCATCTTAACCTCAGAAGGGTGGGTATTCAGAAGGTAAACTGAAACTCCCGAAAGGGATTATACAGCGGATTACATAGGGGAGGAGTTTTGGGGTCATTAAGGGGGATACTAGGATTTTAGATTATAGCTCATATATAGGGACGGTTGGGAGAATTGTCCCGGGAGGTCTGTGGGGAAAGCTAGGAGAATGCACGGAGGCTGTGCGAGAGAAAATAGCAAATTGGCCTAATTGCGTAGCAAGCTGCTCTCTTTCGGAGTTCGTCGCATGACATGAAAACTACCCTTGTAGAATACGCATTGGTATAATAGGCCTTCCGTTTGTTTCTGCGGTGGGTTCTTGCATTTCACGCTGATTGCCCGGCAGTGTGCTTTCTTTGGGTCTCTCTGTCTCTCGTCGGGAGCTCCCGCAACTTGGGACCTCCACCATTTGCATATAAGACATGATGACATGACAAATCTCACCCCTGAGATCATTTTAAGCAAGCTCTTTACCGTCTCCCAGAAATTCACATGGAACCCCGAGGGAGCTCCTTTGTGCAGCAGGCCCAAGCACCTTGCAACAGGACCACGTGGGCATGGAATTCGTGGCACCAGGGTTGTCGCAATAGCCGTTCTGGTAACGAAACAAAGGGAGCCATGCTCAACTGGCTTCAGAGATTTCGCTTTAACCCCGCGCGCGTCATTACCTCAGATCTACATATACCTTTCTAGCCTGACTGATTACCGAGTGATTGCTGTACTGTATCGCCGCTAGTACAACGCCCAAGATTTTTTATCGCCACGAACCTCATGACCCCCAAAACGATGACCACAGTGGCTTAAACTAAATTGAAGCTGAGTTTTCGACGTTACACTCATCATCTTTTTGTTGAAGTCTGGCTTCTTGGTACTTGATTAGGACATTGCTTTCGAGAGCAAAGGCCCGAGGCTTGAAAGGAACATCCCAAGTTATAATCACATAACACCCTTAGTCGCTTACTGATACTGTTCTTCATACATAGTAACACCAAAGTGTTTCATTGCGTGCCAATATGCCTACCTGGGCAAGGAGTGTTTTGACCTTGATGCTCCTGCAAGTGACCATCAGCCACAGTTCGCTCGGCAGCAACAAGTGGATGAGAGCCAGGAAGATGGCTTCCAAAAGTGAAATTGGAGGGTATCTTGTTCTGCGGGTACTTCTCATTTGGGTTATAGTATTTTGGGGTCCTCGTCGGAATTCCTCTGTCAGTTGGAACTACCATATTGGGGTGCCCAGCTTCTTGATGGTAAGTTCCCGGCCGAAAGTCTGGAGGAGAATCCCACAATTTTACAGAGGGTCAGACACTTCGATGACTCCTGCATTCCGGGTTCGACCCTTTGCCCAATGTATGTAGGCCGCCGACCCTGCCACAGACGCAAGCCTAGGCTCTATACCCTAAGAATGTTGGAACCTGAATACTAGCACCATTCTCCTTGTCCTTGTGTACCCCTATGCCCTGTTCGTCTTCAAAGCTGCCATGCTGCCTTGAACATGCTTCCAGCCTTGGCTTTTTCCAACAATATACCTTACAAGAGTAGCTGGTGTCTGGGGGCTGGAGTGAAGTCATATGGGGTGCTGTGCCAATTTCTGAAAGGATTGCTGGGCTGACCGGCCTCTGAGAAACAGTTTCGGCTGTAAAGACTATTTCTGACTGCACTAATGTATTGCGTAGGCCTGCTGTTAAATGAGTTCTGCAGTGGAGAGAGTCCATGGCCTTGCACCCTGCACCTTTGACTCATGTTTGGGTATGGTACCTGCGGGTCATGGCACTTAGTCACTAGGTTAGCAATGGGAGTAACTGGACTGGGGCCATTATAAGTATACTTACGAAGCTCCCTAACCCTCCAAGTGGGATGGGACCGCTAGCATGTAGATCTGAACATTTCAGGCACCATAGAAAGTTGACGGATCCTAGACTGCAAATCCTGCTATGTACAGGTCCTGCCCTAACCCTGAACCCTAGAATGGCATCTAAAGCCCTGAACTCCATTTCTGCGCCGCCGAAGCATGACCAGCCGACACTCATCCATGCATCCGTTTTAGACCGCCCCCGAAACCCTTAATTTCCAGAAGCCCCTGTGTGGTTCGGGAGGTATCCCGGAATGAGCAACTCTTTTTGAGAAGTGCAGATCTTTGGAATCTGCTCAGTCCACAGGCTCTTTCACGCACTGTGCGGCGGTCGGGCCCTGCAGGTTCTAACCTGGAATGTCATGGTGCGAGGTGCGAGGGAGGGTTTGACGCTTTAATTTACCTTTGTGGGGATCTGCAAGTTGGCTACGCTGCTTCCAGGCGTTAAAGGGTACCTCAGGTCTCAGCGGGCAAAGAAAGCTAGCAGGCGGGATTCAAGTGAGGACAGAGGCGGGGGTGAAGGTGGATCCCAAACCTCACGTGAGAGCCCACAGACCACACACAAGCGCTGGGACAGATTTGTAAGCGACTTATGCCGGTCAGAAAGTTGGGTTTCAGGCGTTGATGGGTCGCTGAGGAGTTTCCGGGCACTTTCGTGTCTTGGCGGGAAGCAATAGTCCTTTTAGAGCAAGAAGTTCAGGGTCAATATGGGAGTATCTCAAAGCAATCCCTATACATTCTCTGGGCGGGAACATTGAAATATCATCTGCGTAGCCTCATGATTCTTGCTTCATTTGGCTCTCATCGTACGGCAAAGAAGCCTTGAAAGAACCTCCGGCGCCCTTTTGAAAAGCAGGGCCCCCAACTAATGGCACATGGAAATACAGGAAGGATCACATGCAAACCAAAGGGTATTTACGTGACGGTTTTCATGTTGGAACGTAGCTCGGATATATGAGACGTGTACTTCCTCTTGCTGGACGTAGCCCCCCCCCCGCTAAATCAATTACTTCTCGGGTAGAGCCAAAGTAGAATGCCTCACTTCTTTCATACCGGGTGGAGGGGGTTTGATGGCAGGAGTGGTTCTTTTTGAAGGCGGGGATTTCTACACTTGTGCATAGCTCCACGAGTTCTGGAAGGCTGCGAAGCAGCGTGCCAGTCAGGAACACCAAAAAACGCACACCGAACTTGCTTGTTGCGGTTGCTGACCCTATTCTGCCTGGTTCTTCCACATCTATTCATATGCATATGTAGATATGTAGGTAAATGCATACATACCTACCTATGTATGCTCTTGCTTGCAGACT